AGCCCGTCATTTGCCATCAATTTTTATGTCCAGAGGCCCATCTCAATGACCGCGTTTCTGCGGTCAGGGCATCCAGCCGTCGTGGTCGACGAATCGGCGTGCCGCAGCGTACTGGCCCTCTCCCCCCATTCGTCTCTGACAGTCTCCTCCACCGATTCTCGGCGGAGAGCCCGGGGGAGAAGTGAAGCGCAAGAAAGTATGATAAGCAGAGTAAGCGGGGAACCTCGGATCATACCTTTTTACCGTGTTGAAGGGACCTGCCGTGGCTCAAGAGCTTTCACCGCCAAGGCCGCCCTTGTGGTCAGGTGCTGGCTCTTGCATTGACGATTCAGTCTGCCCTATGCAGTGACTCGGCGGCCCTTGCACCCGTTCCTTCAGAGACCTTGCCAACGCTGCTGAGCGTAGCAGGCACAGGGGTTGGGGAGCAGAGGAGTGGAGGGGAGGGAAAGAATGCGGGAGGAAAGAAGATGGGCACGCGTGTTGTGAGAGGGGGAGGAGGATGCTGGGAGGGAGGGAAGGGAGGGCGGAGAACGGGGTGGAGTGGAGAGAGGAGGGGTGCGGGCAGGAGAACCTGCTCCTCCCACACATCCCTTCCCATACTTCGTTTGATATGTGCCTGTCCGGCGACCAGGGTGCCCCATAGGAAATGGACCCCCGAATGGCAGTTGCAGGATTTGACCCATTCTTAGCCTCGTGTTCATGTGTGGAGGGGGAGGAGGAGGAGGAGGAGGAGGAGGAGGAGGAGGAGGAGGAGGAAGAGGAGAAGGAGGAGGAGGAGGAGGAGGAAGAGAGGGAGGAGGAGGAGGACGAAGAGATGGAGGATGATGATGATGAGGAGGAGGAGGAGGCGCGGATGAGCAGGATGAGGAGGAGGAGGAGGAGGAGGAGGAGGAGGAGGAGGAGGCGCGGGCCCGCGGGGCGTCTCCAGACGGACAAGCGGAAGATCGTCAAGATCAAGGGCGTGGTGGGGTCCGCCGAGGAGGTGGTGGACCTGCAGGCGCGCCCGCGTGCCTTTTGGGGGGGGGGGCGGCGTATTAGAATGCAACTCTTGCCAAGGGAAGGAAAACCACCCAGACCCGATAATTGGGTGTTTACTGAACAGCTCTGCCCTGTTCGATTCCTTTTGTGGGCGTTTACACAGTGGCCTCGCTTGTCGGGGTGGTTATTATGGGGTGGGGTGGGGCTTTTTGTTCGCCCTGTATCTCTGGAGGCTGCATTCAGAACCAGCGTTGGTACATCCCTGGTCGGAGACTATGCCAGCACCGCAACATCCCGCCGGTTATCCGGGTTAATCCCGCTTTATATATTCCAATTCCAATCGTAATCCAGCCTGATCGGGGTCAACGGCCCATTCGCCAGGCATAATACAGCATTTCTCGGGAATCCAAGAGGTACCGATACCGCTACACCACGGACCTCTTCCCGTGTTGCGTTCTGACCAGAGTTTCGAGGCGAATCCAGTGGTGTCGACGAGGGCCTCCCAGTGAGCCGCCAAAAGAGAAAGCGGCGAAGGATAGCAGTATCAGTACATCTTCCTCCTCCTCCTCCTCCTCCTCCTCCCAGAGGCCGATTCGAACGACTCATTCCTCTGACTCACGCCGCCTCTGCCCCCACATTCGACCTTGATTTGTAGGTCGACCCTGCCAAGACAAGGATACCCGCGTGTCCTGTGTTGAGAGACCCGTGCCTTCTACATTCCTATGGCAATGCTTGTGTTCTCTCGCGTGTCTTCTCCAATCTTGCGAGGCTGTATACCCCACCTCTACGTACGCCAGATCCTCGGGTGTCGAGGTTGTTCTAGCGTTTTCGTGTCGTACTTCATGGCCCTCTTGGAGCCCCCCGAGGCTTTCCTGAGGCCTCAGGGGAGAGCGGGAAGCACCTCCTCCTGCTTTCCTCCTTCTTCCCCGGGAGGGGCCGCCCCGTCGTCGCCCCGTGGCGTGCCTTCTGTCTGGCGCTCGCCGCCGAGGTGTGCGTCAGTCTCCCCTGGCGCGGGGGATGGGGGCTGTCCGCGGTTCGGCGGAGGCTAGATCCATGCGGAGTACGGAGTAATACGTCCACGCGGGGTGTTCGGTCTCCGTATGGATGTAGTCCTCCTGGGTTCGGCTTCCTTTGATGAGGGTGCGAAGTCCATACGGAGTGCTCTGTGTCCGTCTGGACTTACTCCGTCTGGACTTAGCCTCTCTTGAGCGTGAGCGGTGGTCAGGGATTGGGTGGGGCGCCAGCCGTGTTCCGGACGGGGAGTGGAACGGGACAGCAGGATGAGGACGACATGAGTAGGTTTGTTCGCGGCCGTTCGTTGTTGCCGCCAACGATTGCACTCTGATGCGTCGCGCTCCTCTGCCGATACTGCTGATACCAGTGCTGCTTCGCACGGCCCCTTGTGAGATGCACGGCGTCCTCGCTCCCACGGCACCGATATCTTTTTAAATTGTTGTCGCTTCGCGGACCCCCGTCAGCCCATCCAGAACCGATTCTTAGGTGAATCGGTGTGACTCCGAGAAAGAGTCAGGAGTTAGCCATAAAGGCGTTCGCGAACTCTCCCGTGGAACAATTTGGGGGAGTCTCGTGCGAGCGTCTTGGGCCCATCTTGGAGCTTTCCTACGGAATTGTCACGTCTTTGGTAGTTTTCTTGGGACTCTCGGGGCTCTCTTTGGTCCCTGTTGCGCTCTCTATCTTCGATCCACGAGGCAGTCGATCAAATCAATGGAGGGTCACTTAAAGCATTTCCTGTCGGAGCCTGTAAATTCCTCGCAGGACCCAGATGTCCATCGGAAGCGAACGGCGACAGAGCAGGCATCATTGACAGCTTATATGTTTACGAGATTGGCTTCCCGGGGGCACCGCTGGGGAGCTCTGTGGTCACCTCGAGCGGCCTTCTGGCAACCTTGCGGCCTCTCGGAGGTACACTGGAGGCCACCTTGATCCGACTAGGGCTACAAACGAGGATGATTATATAGTAGGCCAAACGAAGGGAACCATTTTGTCCTGCATCGCGCATCGTGCAGACTGCCTTCGCAGGGCATGTGTATCCTTCTGTCCTGTAGTTTTTGGAGGCCATGTTACCGTCGGAAGAGTTTCATGCCCTGTCGCGTGTCCTTTGCAATCATCCTCGCCTGTGGAGCATCCTGCGCCATCTTGGAGTTCACGTTAGGTTACCTGGGGCCAGACTTGATTTATCTAAGGCCCTCTTGGATGCTCATTCCTCCAAGCCCGCGCCTCCGCCCTTCTCCAGATCGCGGTGACGATTTCCCCTAATAGAACCAACCGGTCAGCCCCTCCAACCGCCCCTCGGCCCTGGGACCGGTGTGTGACACTCTTGTCCTGGCTTCGGCAAGGCAAGACAAGGCGGGACTGCAAGACAAGGCGAGGCGGCTTCCAAGGCAGACTACAAGATGGCACGCGATGACCCAATAGAATCCAGGATGGCTCCCACTGAGCCTCCAGGAGACATGCATACCACCACAGGACGGCCCGAGGTGGCCACGGACTCCGAGAATAGCCCCAGGAAGCCAGTGATTGTCCAATGCCTAAATGTACATAATGTTTTGGGCAAGATCGCAATGCGGCCCTTGATGGGCTCTTGAGGCTTCAATATTGCCCTAAAGTAGCTCCAAGACGAGCCCCATAGGGGCTTAAGACGCCCCCCGAGGCCCCGAAGAGCACTCCAAGAAAGGCTCATGAGGGCCGCAAGAGGGCCAGCAACATCCAACGTCCTTGGTGCCTCAGGCACCAAGAGTCTTCAAAAGAGCTAGATAAGGCAAAGGAGTCTTCCAGTAGCCATTTGGATCAAGCCATTTTGATTCAGGATGTGTTGGCTCGACTTGTTGTTGTTCAGGCCGTAACCGTTTTCCCAGATCCCCTGGTTTGGTCTTCAATAATATATTCTGACTCAGGGAAGTTAGGTCACAAGAGGTTGACTCATGCAATGCATTTGCAGTTTGGCCGGGCACTCTCTTATGACTACTCTTGCTGCGAACCAGCGGGCCCACTTGCTTGCAACCCGCAGTGTGGTGATACCTGCGTCAAGATTCCAGATCGCAGTGGGTGGACTTCCAGAGCCTTGCCCAGCACGAAATGCATTCCATGGGACAGGCTTGGCCTGCTTAGTGCCGGCGGCTCGAGGTGCCTTGCTGGCAAAAGTGGCGCGCAGATTGCAATGTGGTGGCAAGGGTGCGGACCAGCTGACAGCGGATCATGTCCCGGGTTTTTGTCACGATCGCAGTCCCCGTCGTCCGACAAGGGCAGAGTACGATTGGCTGTATCAAGGTCGCCGCGTCAAGTGCAAGAGCTCCATGATGCAGTGGTGTGAAAAGCGGCAACAGTGGCGTTTTCAGTTCGTTGATGTCAAATTCTTGAGCCCTGGTTTGCAGGGTACCGGGTCTTTTGACGATCTTCTCATTGTTTTGTTTACCCCTCGTCAGGTTTGCGTCTATTTGCATGACCAGGCACACGGTGTTGTTCGCACTGGTGTGAGAATGGCAACTGCGGGGCATGCTATACACTTGCACGGACCAAAGGGCGAAAGATCCTGGATACGAGCCGTCGATGTCATGATCAGTAAACTAGATGAAAGCGACTGTACATGCATCGCCATGTTGCCATTGAGCCACGATTTCGTGAATGCAGAGATGTTCGCCCTCGCAAAGTCGAAGACATCGTCTTTCATGTTGAATAGTAGCGCATACAGCCGAGTGCCTTTAGCAATGTTAAACCCTGTCGCACGTGGAAGCTACATTCGAAGGTTGGTGCGCACTGTGGACACAGTTTTGCACCCTGGGTGCCACTTCGAATGCCCCGTTCGTAGCACATGCGTCAATGGCAGTCTACGCTCACCGCAGCAGGCTACGTATCATTGGTCCCGAAACGGGCAGAGGGTGGCCTGCAAGAGCGCAGGGCTGTCGTGGGACGCCAGTCAGAAACGGTGGGTGTTGCAATTTTCATGCGTGAAGTTTTCTCGAGGCCAACTGCTGTCGTTTGACGAACTTCTCCTTGCCATGTACACTCCGAGAGGCTTGTACATCTACAAGCATGATTTGGAGTTCGGCGTGTCCTCAGCTGGGATACGAACTGAGACGCACGGACATTCCATTTTCGTAAGGGGCCTTGCTGGCCAGGATTGTTGGTCAGAGGCACTCGATCTGATATTGCGAAGGATGGCAGCATCTCGTTGCGAGTGGATTGCTTTCTTGGAATGGTGACCTCAGGGAAAGACTTAAAGGAGTCCCACGTAGCCAGGATCCTTAAACTGTAGCCCTCGCACCACGTTCCTCAGGCCCGCGCTCGGCTTGTCCTGCCCAGTCAACGTGCAAGAGGGGATGTGCTTCGACGTGGAGGTAGAGAGTGGTAAACTTGTTTCCGAAGGGGACACGGAAAATGGAGGAGCTGATTCCCCGCACCACCCTCACCCAGAGAGCTGGTGGGACTACGACAGATAATATTCTCGCTGGGGATGAGGGGGGATGTGGCCCCGAGGCAGTCGCTAGGAGATTGAGCGGTTCTGGAACGACGCCGTTCCAGGCGCGCCCGACGAACACCTCGATGAGTCTCCTTGGATCTCAAGGGACCTTCCAAACTCATCTTCGACTTCACCTTCTCTCCTCTCCTCTCCTCTCCTCTCCTTTCCTCTCCCCCTCCGCCTGGAGAGCCTCAAAACCATCCTCCCCTCCCCTCCTGCACTCTGGTGCTAATGGGTTGCTTGCGTGCATTGGAGATGGGTCAAACATAAGAAGAAACATAATCATACTAATAATAGTAGTACTAAGCAGACGAAGAGAGAGGAAAGGGGAAATCTAAGGGCAGGAGTAGAGGAGGAAGAGGAGGAGGAGCCACAACCAACTGGAGTTGTGATGACGAGACCCACCTATGTCTGACTTGGAACATTACTCATGCCACGGACAACTAGCTACCTGATGGACTAGACAATGTCTACACCCCGCTGGACCCACATGAGCCTACCCAAGTGCCGGACATGGATCGTATGATTCCAAATAAGGGGCGGAGAGATTCTCGCGGGGGTCTTGCTCTAACTTCCTAACTTTTCACCCCCGCTTGCGCGCCACAGGCTCCCCAGAAGGGACGTACACAGCCCAATGATTTCCGAACCGACTGTGTACGCCCACGCAAGCTGTGTGGTTCGGGCGGGACCACTGTCCCGATGCGTCACTGACAGTACCTTCTGCTGATGTTAGGGGGAAGGCTCTTCTGTTCCAAATGCTATTCCAAATGCTACTCTACGTCTGTTTCCATTATCCTAATGTGCTCTCTCACTTCAGAAGTCGTGCCCCACAGCCGCTGAATTCATGCTGCTCTTGGACGGCGGTGCGGAGCTGCTGCCATGAGCCACATTGCTGCTACATGCATCCGGTTCTTGCTTCTTTCTCCTCTCACACGTGGTATGGGCTTTCAGCCCTCAGTGACCGACTGACCTACCGAGCGGGAGTTGACGAATGAATCGAATGAATAGGAAGAGGAGGAGGAGGACGACGATGAGGAGGAGGAGGAGGAAGAGAAGCAGTTCAAGGAGGAGGAAGAGTAGGATGCGGAGCGGCAGTGTACGAAATGACGAACACACGGTAAGGAGGAAGATGAGTTGCAACGGAGGAGGAAGAGGAGAAGGAGGAGGAACCGAAACGATTGAAGAGGGCGAGGGGAGAAGGAGGCAGGACGAGGACGATAGGGGGGGGACAGAGAAGGGGGTGACGCCTGAGTCGCCCGTGATCGCCGTCGGCAACATCGAGGACTGGCTGCTGGCGCTGGAGGCGGAGATGCAGGAGCGCGCCGCCCGCGGCTCCGCGGGGGGCGGGAGGGCAAAGGACGTGTTTCGCTGTCCGCATGGGTCGGCAGTAGCAGCGTTGATGAAACCAATTCTTCGTCCTCCTCGTCCTCCTCCTCCTCCTCCTCCCCCTCCTCCCCCCCCCCCCTCCCCTCGTCCTCCTCCTCCTCTTCTTCCTCCTCCCCCTCATTTTCCTCCTCCTCCTTCTCCTCCTCCTCCTCCTCCTCCTCCTCCTCCTCCTCCTCCTCCTCCCCCTCTCCTGGCTAGAAGGCAGAGACATATAAGAGGTGACGGAATAGGATGTCCTCCCCTTTCTCCTCAGGAGGATGATGGCGATCCATATATTGCCCGCCCTCATGATAACGGGAGGGAGGAGCAAGAGGATGATGAGGAGGAGGAGGAGGTGGTGCTCCGCACAAGGTGGCGCCAGCATATTCTCAGTTCCCTCCCCCTCTCCCAACACCATCCATGTTCCTCCTCATCCTCCCTCCGCCCTCCTACCCAACCCTTCTCCACGCACATCGTCGACGTTCCTCCCCTCTCCATGCCACCTCTCTCCGTCCTCCATCCTCTCCCTCCTGGTCTTCTCGTCCACCCCTCTCCGCTGTCTTACGCTCCCGCCATGCCAGAAGTCGGTGCGGCGTGAGTGCCGCCACGCGTCCATGGAGATGGGGCAGCTGCTGAGCGGATTGTCGATGGGCGACTTCGGTAACAAGAGCATCGCCCAGGTCTGGTTCCCCCGCACGGGCGCGAGATGATGATGGTGATGGTAGAGATGGTGAGGTCGATGACGACGACGACGATGACTCGGCCACGCGCAGGGGGGGTAGGGGGGTGGGGAAAGCCTTATAAGAAGCAGCCTCCTTCTGAGAAGCCTTCCCACCTCCCTCTGCCCCCTTGTGCGCGCCGCCAGATGTCAACGCTGGTCTGGCGTTGCTGATGCTGATGATGATGCTGATGATGATGATGATGATGATGATGATGATGATCATGATGATGATGATGATGATGATGATGATGATGATGATGATGATGATGATGATGATGATGATGATGATGATGATGATGATGAGTAGGTTGCTGTTGATGTTACTGATGATGATGCTGCTGATGCTGATGCTGATGCTGATGTTGATGTTGATGATGATGATGATGATGATGATGATGATGATGCTGATGCTGATGGTCGTGGTGGTGGGTTGGTGGGGAGAAGGAGGAACAGTATTGTGGTGACTTTGAAGTCGATGTTGAGAATGGTGATGCTGATGCTGATGATGAAAATGGTGGTGATGATGGTGATGTTAGTGATGATGTCAATGGCTAGATCTAGGACGGTGACGGTATGGTGATGGTGGTGATGCTGGCAAGTATGTTGCGCTTATGTCGATGATGGTGCTGGTGGTGATGCTGCTGATGCTGCGCTTATGGTGTTGGTGATGGTGTGGCAACTCCATCTGTCCGCCTTTAACCGTGTAGCTGTTGGACCAGTGTAGGACGAATGGTCGCGGGTTATAGCTACATGTTGGAAACCGGCCGCCTTGCATCCATGCTAACTGCTGGCGTTGTGTAGGGCGACTGCTCGCGGCGCCGAAGCTAGAACCACACTTTGATGAACACGACCCGCCTTCCATCCATGCAAGTGTTGGGAGCTGCCAGTACAGATGCGCGTGGCACTAGGACGATATCCATTGTTTGAAAGGGATCCGCCCTCCATCCGTGTACATGTTGGAAGCTTTGGAGACGAGTTCGCGCGAGGCTAAAACTCGAGCCACATTCGAACACCACCCGCCATCCGTGTAACTGTCGGAGGCGTTAATGCCGAATTTGCGCTGCGCTAGGGCTTGAGCCTCATGTTGACAACGACCCGCCCTCCATCCGTTCAGCTGTTGTTGAGCAAATTTCAACTTTCATGTCCACCAGCGGCGAGGAACACTCAGGCGAAACGACCGACCAGGCCTACTGACACGCCTGGCTGTGCGACGAGGACGGCTCATCAGAAGGAAGGAGGGGGATGGAGATGCAGCGGGCTGGAGGGGACGAGGAGCAGGAGGAGGAGGAGGAGGACGACGACGGCTAGGCGATGATGACGAGGGGGAGTGGGAGGATGGGCAGGGGGAGGATGGGCAGGGGGATGATGGGCAGGGGGAGGAGGTCGAAGGACGAGGAGGAGGATGAGGTGGATCGCACGCCACCGAGGGGGGGGGGAAGAGAAAAAATCCGACAGTCAGCTGAAACAAAACGCCCGAGGGGGGCCCATCGGAGTGGACCTTTTTGTCACCCTGACAGGAAGGCCAAAGACCTGTCAGGGGCCAGCGACAAGGCCCCCCAGGGCAACAACAGCTAGCCGTCTTCAAACGCCAAGTCTGCGGAAACCCTTTGCTTTTCCCGCAGCCTGGCCCCAAGCACTCGGGCTTCAGTTTCATTCAAACCGAACGCCTGCAGACAGTCTGCCGAGCAGATGGGGTCAGGTACAAATCCAGGGACCACCGCACTTCGCTGGCCCTTTCGCTGGACCCCTGGGCCGCCGTCCAAACCCCCAAAGACCTCCCGAGCCCGCTCCCCAGGCGACTTCCAGGGGCCAAGCTTAAAGGCGCGATTGGGATGTTTCGACCTTAAAACAGCGCGGGTGTTTTTGCGGCCAGGGTCTATCAGACTCGCTTGGGCCCCAGGGCAGACCGACTTGAGGCCTCTAGCTCCGACCGAGACCGTCGCATACCCTCCACACGTGGAGCAAAAAAATATTGGAGCGAGATCCTCACCGTGCAGCGGGAACTCCAACAGCTGGTGGCCGCCCTGCTTCCAGGGGGCCTGGTGAGCATCCCTGGCCAGGACGGCCAGGTCGGGGCCCAGGGGCACCTCCGGCAGGCCCTGGGAGGGGTCCGCTGGGGCAGGAGGGGGAGCAGCAGCAGCAGCAGATCGCCCCTCCGCCGCCACCCTCCTCCTGAGCTCCTCCAGGTCCTCCTCCAGGCCTTCGCCGCCCTCGAGCGAAATGAGGGTGAGCCCCTGGGCGCCCACATTATCAAACACGCCTAGGTCGGAATAATGAACCTCGGCCCTGGTAATGAAAGAGGTGACCTGACGGGCCATAAACAGCATGCCTTTGACCACTAGCATATCCTGAGGGTCATGCCTGCTGAGATCGGCGCCTTGCTTGGCCAAACGGTCGGCGGCGTCGTTGCCCGTTTTTTTTTTTCAAACAGGCTGATCTTACCTTCCCGAACGTCATCCATGTTCGAATGGGCCTTGACCTTGCAGCAGGTCACCCCAGACAAATCGTTTTTAGCATACAGCTCCTTCCACAGATGCATACGTGTGTTGGCTGGACTCTCGGCCCAGCTTCTATGGCGACAGCACTCGAGAGTTCCTTTGCAGTCAGAGTAAAGCGTGAACGTGCAAATTAAAAAACTCGTGGCCATGAAAACTGCAAAATCTTCGCCATCCCGGGCGACTTGGCCAGGCAGAGTGGCTGGCGGGACGGCTCCAAACCAGCCCGTGATCCAGCGGCGCTCGCTGTCATAAATGGCAACTCCCCAGCCTGCCGAACGCAAAGCGGGGAACATTCCATCGTGACCCGAGCCGTCACAGAAGACGTGAGCGTTATCCACCGCCAAACACGCACCCACTCCTTCAGCCCTGAACTCCCACGCTGGGTCCCAGGGCCTCCGCGCGAGCAGCTGACAGGGGTCAGGGAGGATGCCTCGGGCGAATCGCTCTTGCAGTTCAACTGGGCAGCGAGCAAGACGAGCAGCCGCTGCCTGGAGCTCAGGCGGGAGATGGTCTCGCCGCCAAGCTGCACGGGCAGGGCACTCGAAGTGCTTGTGAAAAAGGGTGCCTCTGGCCCCGTGACAGATGAGGCAGTCTGCCTCGAGCTGGGGGTCGTGCTGGTGAAGCCTGTGCTGGCACCAGTGCGAGCCCATAACAAGGCCTCTCAAGGTCCTCTGCTCCCGCACCCCCCAAGCTCCACCCGTGCCCGGCTCCGCCCCGTCATCGTCGTCTTGCCGCCGTCTGCAGTGCAGCCTCTCGTTGAGGGGGCGCCAAAACATTTCGCCTAACCAACCCTTGCCTCCGCTGATTTTGCTGAGGCCTCGGTGATCAGACAGGCGACGTGCAGCGAAGCGAGCACGGCGAGCAACGAAGGCAGGCGAGACAGAGGCCAGGGACCAAACCTGCCCTGAGGCCTCGCACAGTGTCCAGGGGTCGGTGAAAGTCAGACCTGCTCGCCCCGCAGTGAGGATTAGAGCCGCCACAGGGTCCTTGACCTGCGCCCATGGGCGGGCTTTTGACGCAATGGCCTGCCCTTGGGCAAAAAGAAATCGAAGCACCGAGGGGGACAGGCGATTGTCTCTGAGGATCTGCACATATGTTTTCAGAGCATCGGCTGTGACCAAGACCAATGGGCCTCGGGTCCAGCCGCCACGCGCGCACATGGAAGCTAAGTCCAGGGAGCAGCCGCGAGGCAGCCGCCCTTCAGCGCGCAGCGCAGCTACCCTTAGTTGATTAAGTTTGCCGTCAGGGAGCCCTTGGATGTTGGCTCCCCATAGAGCCTTGGCAGAAACTCCAGCCCGAAAAACAAAGCCCGCTGGGGCTCCAGCGTTTCTGAGGGCCACGATTTTGCCGACCTTGGCTTGGGCGGCGCAGAAACGATCGTGATGTGTGCTTACTCGCCGACGGCTGCCGTCGGTCGCGTCCCCTCCTGGATCCCGATGGACCTGGGCGCGCACCGACTCTGGGAGGCCACAATCGAGGAGGATCCCGTCCGCCACCTCCCCCGAGGAAGAGAGGAGGCCGAGCTTATTTCAGGCGATGGGCAGCCCCTTTTTTCTTAGGTCTGCCGTTATCATGCGGAACGATTGCCCGAGCTCCCTGCGAACTACTTCCTTGCCCCCAACCGCGTGCAGCGAGACATCGTCGATTACATTTTTTATCCAGACGACTGGGCTGGCCGACGCCGCGCGCCGCAAACAAGCTAAGAGGAGCAAGCGGGAAAGAGTGGTGGCCCCAGAGCACCCTGCAACTACCGTGCCGTTCGGCACGAGGACTCTGCTGACCGCGCCTTGCCACGAGACCCTACGCGGTGCACGATGCATCGAACAGTAGCTCCTCAAGAGGGCTTCCGAAAAACCTGCATGCTTGGCGGCTTCTCGCAACTCCTGGTGCGAGATGTGTTCATAGAACTTGCGCAGATCTATGAAAAGCGTGCAAGGGGCCCAGCCAGGCTGGGAACGGGCATAGGCTGCAAGAGCGTTGTGGACCCAAGCGCTCTTGTCACAGGCTGTGCTGGTGCTCATACCCCAAAAGAAACGCTCATCAGCGCGACGCTCCCACTCAGAGCACAGCCTGTGCCTAATTCTGCTCCAGACCCTCGCAAAGAGGGGAAGCAGCCCTATCGGTCGGACTCCTCCCGAAGGCTTGTCGAGAAAAACGATCAGCACTAGCCGCATCTGATCCACCCTCGGATTCCTTTCCCACGCAGTGAGGATGGCCGCAAAGGCCTCAACAAGCGGCCGAGGGAGCTGCAACAGGAGCCGCGGGCTGAACGCATCCCAACCCAAAGCCGTGGTCGGGCTGAAAGAAGCCGCCGCTTCTAGAACCTGTTCAGCAGAGATCGGTTCGAGCGAATCCTCCACCGTCCCGTCAAGGGGATGCTGCTCCCCCTCGCGCTCGGCGCTGGTCCAAATGGGAATCCACTCCTTGAGGGTCTGCTCTAGAGCGGCCTGGCCTACCAGAA